TGTAATGAATTATAAATGAAATATTAATTGTTAGTGATATTCTTGAATATGTCTTTATCAGTCACTCATGTGCAAGAGTACAGGTCCATAACTCTAGAAGATGTTGTTAGAGGTCGGTCTTGCGATGGCTGTAGGTTACCACTGAGGTTACTAAGTGTTAAGAAGTCAGAAAAAAATAATAGAACGTCGGTGTACACATTTCGTCGCGGATCTAGCCATGCAGCATTGACTACACCCGATTATGATCGTATGTTTCTGTGTGGTGACGCGAGTGGGAGCGGATGTTGTGTTATTTTCACTCGTTCCAGTGATCTAACCAAAGTCCTGATACCTGAGGGCAGTAGTGTGTCCGTGGGACAGTTGATAGTCGCAGTTGAACCACGGTTTGTGAATCAATATTTGGATGAGAAGCAAGTTACTCCCGTACTACGTACGGTTTTACCATTGTTTTCTCTGGATGATGTTGATGAGCTTCCTGTCATTCCAATAGAATTACAAGCTTCATCTTTCGTTCACTTTTATTTAAAAAATGTGAAGCTTGATATTAGCAGTGTTCGTTTGATGTCCTCTTGTGGTGGATCCTTCTGCAATAGGCTTTATGCTCCAAACTCGTGTGGGTGTATTGTTAAACCTTCCAGACCTTCTTTCGTATTAGAGGGAGACATAGATATCCAACAAGTTGATATTGGTGATGATGGTGATAATGATACCGGTTATGAATGTTTGAATGGTACTACAATCAATGGTCTTCGTTTTACGAAGATATTCATTGACGAAAATGTATTGTCTATGGCTAGTTGGAAGTCTTTGGATCTTCAGCTAATCAAAGAAGCCTGTCGATCCGTTCTCTTACAAATATCTGGATGGAATTTATCTGGTTGGACAAAAGCTGGATCAGAAACAGACGATCATCTGATAAATGAAGCTAGAAGCTTCCATATAGTTGATGCAGAACCCATTTATATTGATCAAGTACAGGCTGCATCAGCTAAATATACTGCACCAGTATCTGTGCCCATAGAAGGAACCGTAAAAGGTAAAAATTAAAATATAAATTATGTATATTATGGTAAAATTACGAGAAATGGCGAATAGCGTGTACAGTTTGAACTGGTTTATGAGCACGAGTTTGTTTCATGTGTGAAAACGTGTTTAGAAAATTATCTGCCTATCCCCGTTATGTCTTCTGTAGTATTTGATTCTTTAAATAATATCATGACTCATACTGTATGAGTAGGAGTAGAAATCCATTTTTCTGAGGTAATTGATGTAAGGTTTTACAATATTTTATCTTTGTTTTCAACCCACTCATCGGATATAGTTCAAAATGTGCTGAATTTTGGGTTAGGTTTGATTGTTTTTTTTGTACAGGCCGTCCTTCAGCTGCTCGCTCAACAGTTACTGAGGAAAGCGATGATTCTGGTGATGGACAACATGGTTCAGGAGTGGCTTCTCATCATAGATCAGGTAAATTTGACTGTGGAACAATAATAAAAATTACACTAGTAGTACTATCACTACGTAGGTCATAGTAGATAAATAACTAACTTTCGGTGACATCTTTCGTGGAAAGAGAAGTTGATGGTTGTAGATTTGAATTACAATACGTGACTATTTTCATATAATGAATTTATCTTTCTAGTGTAAGGTATGCTTATGGGAGTATTATTATGGTTATAGTAATAAGTCCACTATATTGAGGTATTCATTTTCTATATCATAATTATGATTATGTGCTACATAAAACTAGTGTTGTAATATCTGAGATTATGTTCGTCAAAATTATAATGAGAGCACAGTATCTTTTAAAAAAGCGAAATTTTTATTCATTCTTAGAAATATGTCTATGCCTATCGCATGATGTAACATGTTCGTTATAAATGTTACTTTTTCGACGTGCTATTATTGGTAGTGCTCGTCTTGAGTATAAAATGTATAGAATCTAACATTGATTTGAATAACCATATCAACGCATGGCAAAGTTAGTTGATTAATTCTTCACTATAGTTGGACGTCTTTCTTCTACATTCGCCCCCTGTGTGGGGTATTTTCAATTGTAAATGCAGGTGGAAAGAAGACAAGAAAATCGTAGATTCGAGTGTGAGAAAAGCTGGAGATAACATATACATAATCTTTTACAGTGGAGTCCTATCGTGGGATACCTTTGAGTATTAAATAAGTAAGATTAATGTGGTTTCTTCATTTATTGATGGATGTTTTGGTAGATATCGTATGAATGTCAAGTATTGAGTAGTTATTGTCACCTGATATGAATACCTAAAATAGATTAATACTAACTTGTTAATCCCTTGTAGCAGGAAGCAGAATTGCGTTATCTCAAGTAACATGTCAAGATGAAGATATTATTTAAGTGTCTTAAGGAAAGTCCTTCCCTCATTGCGGTTTGATTTTGTAATGTATAGATTGTATTTTTGCGTGCCCAAGTTTATTTACTCATGTAATTAGTGAGTATATTGATGGTACTCTTCTGGAATATCTAGAAAGATGTTTATTCAGTCTTAGACTAAGATTTTAAATTTTTCTTACGCCTTCTTGCTTGACGTACCGCCGACTAGGTGACTATGCAAGTTCGAAGACAAATTAGAGTATAAGGCGCGTTTTCGTTGTAACATTAATTTCGGTCGAGCTACGAGATAAGTAGAAGGTAACGAATGCCCGCGACCCGGACCCAGGGATTGATAACACAAGTAAAATGAGCTTATGCGAAGCTTAACTTATAGAAGCTATCCCATGAAGGAGGGTAGAACAGCTAGGCTAGACGCTAGCTACTATTGTCTCCACTATGATAGTGGCACTATCGCATAATAATTGTGTCGGCGGAGCGAAGTGGAGGGATGAGTATCATCACACCGAACGGATAGATCGAGTACAGATGCACCCTTCTGGTACCCTACCTACACTATTCATGCTGGCGAACACAGAAACCTTTGATGTAACTGCATTAGTGATAGGATAGCAAGGGGACCAGAAGCAATAGAATCCTCACTGGCAAGAATTTAACGCGGCAACCTATATTTCAACGAGGTCTGGCTAGTGTCTCTACGACTTAGGAAGAAACAACTCCGTCGTACTCGAAACTCAATTCGTGCAGTTTATGAAAAAAATGTTATTTCGACAACATCCACGATCGTGGTCCTCCTTGCTCATCGCTCCTCGTTATCCATTCCTCGCCCCTGTTATCCGTAATAACATATGATTCGTCAATTGGATCGTATCGTACAGCCCACTTGGGTGACCCTAGATCTCTGGAATCGTCTAGGCTTGCGTTTGCCATTTGGTCAGCGAAAAATTTCACCCCGAAACTCGGATCCCTCCATTTCGATTCCTGGCGTTCGTGACTTCGTAGTGAAGCCTCGGACGCCGACTGCTCCGGTCGCGATAAGTGCTCGCCCAGGATGCTCTGCTTTGTAGTGTCATTAATGGTATCCGTTAAACCAACCACCAGGGGTTGCTGAGTGATAGCCTCTGTAACTTCGTTGTCGACGGACATCGGATCAGCCGACGAGAGCTCATTGTCGAGCTGCTCAGCTTGGTTGGAATTCTCGCTCTCTGCAGTGACCACATCCTCCGAGCATAGCATTAACGCTTTACGAGTATCTTTCTCGGCATCAGCGATTTGGCTCACTGACCCTTCTCGTGTATGCGGCTCAGTTACCACACTAATCTCGCTCCTATAATACTCCCTGTCCTCGAGAATCCACTTAGGCTCATTGACCGGTGCTCCCCTTGAAGTCACTTCCCTGGCCGACGCCGGTAAAGACTCGAGCAAATCATGTACTGGGCTATCGCATAGAATTTCATCATCATCATCATCATTGACTTCAGCCTGACGATGGAGTTCGGACGGACCCTGGGGGCTGTTCTCTAACACTTCGATGCCCCGGACATCAGTTTCGGCAACACTACTGGGCGATGAGCTCGCATGAGCAGTTTCATCGGTGTTGTTGTTTTCACTTATTCCTACATGGCTTGCTTTCATTCTCTTCAAACTCTCCTTGAACACTCGTCTCAATTCACGACTTTGCTCTCCTGATAGACCTCCCACGATAGTAAGAGCCTTACGGCAGAACCCTTCCGCAGATTCAACATCGACACCCTCGGCGACCAGCTGCACTGCATAGTTGTTGCAGGCAATTGCGTGCATGACGGCCAGACTCTCGTCACTTCCCGAACCAAGCAACTCCTCAGATGCCTCACATGCTAGCCTAGCGCTTCGAACAGCTTCGCCATAGTCTCCCGTTGCACTGCATAACTCACTCAGATTCATACAAGTGGCAACATACAGTTTCGCGGTTTCTTCGTTTCTGTCGAAGCTTATTGTGCCAATAACTGTTCGGAGGTATTCCGTAGCTTTCATCAAGTTCCCTTCTTTTTTTCTCAACTGAGCCATGTTATTCATAGTGAGTACGAACAGCGTTCTCAGATCTTTCGCTGCCTCAACAGGCATCGCCGCTGCGAACGCCTCGAGGCATTTCACTGCAAGCAACAGGCCCTGTTCTGTTGCCGTCTCGTTCAGTGCAGATACCACGCGACGTCCTAACTGTATGGCGAACTAACATACGCGACAACTGAGCCGCTACCACACCTTCATTAATTTCTCTTTCTCCTTTGGTTTCGCTTCGCTTCCTTCACCGATTGTGTGCGTAGCTTTCAATAGCATCTCCGCTGCCTCAATTTTCTGTTTGTTGTCGAGCCTCGCCTCTACAACAGTTATGTACAGCGACACCAACGTAGAGCAGGGCATCGTCAACTTCCTTCACAATTTTCTATTGAAAATCATCCAATAAGATCAAGTGAAGATTCCAGATGTTTTCTTGAGCACAGGACAATTTGAATTGCACTTTCCAGCAAAACTAACACGATATAGGTAAGTACTTCAAGTCACACCTCGCGCACAACATGGCAGTGCTCGCGGCAGCTGCTTTAAAAGATCATCGACGGTAAACAATATCGATGCATTCTGAACTTTCCACATTTTTTCATCTTTTGCTATTCTTATCAAGGAATTTCTTGAGCAATGGAGGCGTGCACTGTGCTCCACCCGAGGCCTTGTTCAACTCCTCGTCAGCCACGAAGCATTGCAACATTGAATCCACGGCTAGACCAAAGACATTCGTTATCAACTTTCCGACAACATACCTAAGAGTCAACAAGAATAGTGAAGGAAATTCCCCTAAAACTCACCCAACCACGACATAAATGATGATGGGCACCACAGGGCTGTTGATTTCACCATCGTACATCTCTAACGTGATGAAATAACCAGCCGCAGCAGTAGCACCTGAGTCCAGCAGATGTACGCTTCAAAGTGAGGTAAGTTACCGAGCTTACCCATTATGAAGAGATACCCGAATAGTCGCACTGCATTTCCGATCGCGCCGAGGACGCCGATGCGTGCGGCGTTACGAAGAATTAAGAAGAAAGCGTTCTTGGCACTTGTACAGAATTTAGTGCCTGTCACCACTGATGGGAGGGAATAATGAGAAATAGTTGACCTAGTAAAGCCGTCTGAATGTAGGCATTCTTGTTGAGGAACTTTATGCATTTCTCGAAGCACGCCACACAGTAGCTGAGAATTTTGAACAGAATCGTCATGACTTTATTGTGTTGCAATTTAGCTTGTTTCGCGAGATATCTGAGAAATCAAGAGAAGTCCAATTTGACGACAGTCGGAAGCTGATGAGCTCACCTCAGCCACCACTTTATAAACTGAACGATTGCCAAAACGAAGCTTCCAAATGATAAGGTCCCCTGATGATAGATAACGGCATTCTTGATGCCGGTTCGGAGAGGTTTAGTCCCGAGTGAGCCCTTAGCATCGTTGGGCGTAAAATACCTGTGGAATTCTTCTCACTACAATCACAGGCGTCGTAGCTGCGAACCAAGCTTTATGCAAGGTAATATTTCCAAAATTTCGAGAGTTCAAAAGTCAACTTTGAGTAATATCAACATGAAGAAAACGTGAATCGATGAACATCAACGCTTTATAAGCGCTCCGTAGTCTCTA